AGGAACCAGGAACCAACTCGACTTTTGAACTAAAGGAAAAAGAAAGAGAAAGAATACGAGTTCCCCTTCCCTCTGCCTTTCTCGTTGTTGCAGTTTCCCAGACCCGGGGCCGGGGACGGGAGAAGGTCAACAGGGCAAGGTCCCGTGGAGAACTTCTTGAGCGGACGCCCGCCCCCCCACCTCCTTCTTTCGATTTTTCTTCAAGAAGGCGGCTGTGAAAGGGGGGGTCGTATTAACTGGGGTAGGTAGACACGATCGGCCCTATCAGCGGGGTTATCCCATCACTCACCGCTCCGGGATGCCGCTACCTAACGGGGTAGTTGGGACTTTCCTGGAGACTGGTGAAGTGATGTATCGGTGTTGCCAAGGTCCGAAAAGGTCAAGTCAACGACTACCACCGGGGTCTTGTTCTTTCTGCTCGTTGTGGTCGTGGAGGCTTTAAGCGAAGGGTGGGAGAGGGGGGTCAGAGGTCCGAGATGGGAAACAGGAGAAAAGGCGGAGTTGAGGTTGCCTTGAGTGGTTGAGAGAAGGAAAAAAAAAAGTTAAGCAATGGCCGAGAAATGAGATGGAAACTTGGAAAGCTTAGGGGGCCGTTGCCAAGACCGAATAAGTGATGCCGTTGCTGATCTTGATACCAAACAGCAAACTTTACTTTGCTCTCTCTCTCTCTCTTTTGATGTATTTTCGTACCTACTGCGCGCTATTGTTCACTAATATTCGTACCTCGCTTTCGTCGGCGCGTACCGGCAACTAACAAGAGCTATCAGAAAGCGAGCCATCACTCGTCCATGCATTTTATTAATTACAGATAAAAAAGTAATAGGCACTGGACGCAGTGGACAGATTACCTGCCCGGCGACATGACTCGGCAACGTCAAGTGGACAGTGCTCGCGCGTCGCCGCGTCCACGGGTGCGTAAAGGGGAGGGAACCATCAACCAACGACTCAAAGATCCCGTGGTCGTGGTCGTGGTGCGGCATGCGGCATGCCATGTTCCTAACGCCGCGCGAGTGTTCCCAACTTCCTGTTCCTGTTCCTGCCTATACCCCCACCAATACGCGCAAGCCAAGATCCCCTCTCCCCGCATTGTTCCCTCCTCACCACGCTGCAGGCACAGGATTCACATTTCACTTTGACGTTTTGGGCCTGACGCAAGGCACACGGCGCGGGGAAAACCTAACCTAGGAAGAAAGAGAGTTGCTGCTGGCATCTGCAGAACATCACTCGCTCACTCACCACCAAACACTACCATCACCTCCGCCAAACCTCCGCCCGCCCACCTCGGCCGTCGCACATGGTGTCAGGGACGGACCGAATCCTGTGCATACCGCCGGCATGGGCGCCGAATGCCACGCCGGACGGCCACCTCCCCACGCCCGCTTTGGGACCTGTCATCCCGTCCATGTGGCCAACCACCACACTCGCGGTTCATCCAATGTCACCTCAAGGCGGAGTCTCCACGATTCACCACTCCCATCTCTCTGGCACGTGTAACTTGGTAGAGGTAGAACAAGAAGCACGTGTAAAAAAAGGGAGCAGGGTATTGTATTTTCCAAATGTCCTAAAAATCTGGATTCGTCTTTCTATCCTACCATGCCGAGCCTAACGCGGAGGTGAGTATGCCTAGTTCCCCATTTTGTCCACCTGAACGAACCAATCGCTCAGGCCTTCCTGATTCTGTCATTGATCTCATCGTCACATTACCTCCCTCATCCATTGCACTGCTCTCCCCGCGCTTCGGGCCTTTAACGCATCCTTAGCCTGCCATGCCGCCATTGGCGTTGCCAAACGGCATCCCGTTGCCGTCTGTTTCTGGCGAGGATTGACCTGGATAGATCTGCCCAAACCCTGTATCAGCTGCCCAGTTCGCGTTCTGCGTGTACGTCTCAAATGCGTTCTAGCCCATTGTCAGTCACCATGTCATTATGCCATTGGCGGAATCGCAACATACCCAGTCGAAGTTGGCGGGGAAATCTCCGCCAGACTCGAAGTTTGTAAACATCGAGAACGGAGACCCCGCGTTGTTCATGCCAATGTCGCCCTGGAAGTTTGGCGTCATGCCTGGGCCCGTCATGGGCAACGAGACTCCAAAGTCCATGCCGCTAAACGAGTTCGTACTTTGCATACTGCTTTCGAGCGCGGCTGCCGTGTTTGGCGTCATGCCACCAGAGAGCATACCCAGAGTCATTGCCGCATTGTGGTCCGATTGCATTTCCGGGTTTGTCTCAAAACCCGGGAAACTTTCGTTCTTGAAGACCTCGGCTTCAGGATTGGGGCCCTTGATCTTCTCCAGAATAATGTCCAAGACTTTGGATGCCTTGAAGGCTTCCATCGACCCGTCTGCAAGCCCTTGCCAGATCTCCTTGGTCCGCTCCAAGTTGCTCAGCATCTCCATCCGCTGCTCTGGGGTCCAGAACATGGCCGACTCTGACGCCCTGCGGTCATCGCTCGTTTCCGCAACTCGGTCGTGGTGGAGGTCAAGCGCAACCAGCATGGCAGGCAGAAGGAAGTCCTTGGTTGCTATCGAGTTCACGAACCACCTCAAAGATCGAAGTCTGCCACTAGGCTGTGATTCTCTGTCGAGGGTAACCAAATGCCGCAACGTCTCTAGAGCCGCTTCTACTGCACTTCTGCGCGAGTAGGCATATCGTGGATTTGTACGAGCTCGCGGCACGTACTTCTTGTGCAACAGACAGAGGATCTTGAGGTAGAGCACGTTGATGTTGAACCTCGCGATGATCAAAGTGACTGGGTCGTGCGAACCCTCCAAGGCTGCAACCTTGAGATGAGGCGGGATCTCGTCGTTGATCTCTCGAAGCCGGGCATCGAACCGCAGAATTTCGTCGTACGGTAGTTGCCTGCCCACACGATTGGTGGCCTGCAAGATGTCACCCATCTCGTTGCATAGCTTGGATTTGGCAATCATGTACGCAATAGGGGTGGGTTCCGTCTTCGGCCGTGAAGGAGGCAAAACTTTGGTGTTGGGACCGAATTCCTCGTCAAAGATGTTGTTCGGCAACTGAGTGTCACAATCATGACCATAGATCATGGATGGCAGCGAAACTTGGTGTGAGAACACCACATCGGCCATCCTCACCAGTGCCCACGTACGCCGCCTCATTTCCTAGAATACCATGTTAACACTGACTTGCCCAGGGATATATATCTGGAGCACTACAACTCACTGCTTGAAACGGTGTAATCGTCGGGAACCACTTTGCGTCGCGGTGGTACCCCATCCTGAAGGCAACTCTTGTGAGCAAGGACACGATCAGCCACAGCCCCAGATCAGCATCCCATCTCGAAGAGTATTCTCCAAACACATAGAGAAGCATCGTCTCCACGGTGTATTCCACCGGCTTGGTGTAATCAGCCGCAATGAGGCACTGGACGGTGCGTAGTCGATATTCGGAGGCCAGGTCCAGCGTCCGCCCTTTCCACTCCGGCGGTTCGTCCCCTACCTTGTGGTAGCTCAGCATGGCGAGACACAAAATAGAATAGAGCAATCCAAGCCACATGATGGGCGTTTTTGAGGGATCTTGCCAGTGGGCTCGAAGTTGTTGCTGGAAAGTCGGCGCGTGAATAATGTTTACCGCATTGTCCATCGAGTTGAAGTATCTGGAACAGAGCGCAAGGACGGCCGATTTGGGTGGTAATTCCGCTCGCAGTTCGATCTCGGTAGCTGGCGCGGCTCCAAGCAAAAATGTAGGTCCTTCTCTGGCGCTGGCCGGTTTCGACATCATGACCTTTTCATAGCTCTTTTCCAAATCCTTCTTGTGATTCGCAAAATATGTCTTGACTTCGGATATGTCCGCCAATATCGTATGCCAATGCTCCTGGCCAATGTACATTGACTTGCCCTTATCTGAGTCGACCTTCAATACGCCTAAAGATGTCGCTAGCTCGCCATCAGGATCACTGTCTTCATCGTCATCTCGCATTTGTGTCTCGTCGTCGGGATCGATTTTGGCCGAGGTAGGTGTGCTGTCAGTATTCGACTTGGTTGTCGAGGCGCCTGTCACGGCGGCCGCTGCTGCTGCGGTAGAAGGGTCAATAGTAGCACCTCCGTGCATCAAAGACAAAACTAGGCCTTCTAAACGGTCAATACGGTTCTGCATGTCATCGGGGCTCGAAGAGCCTTGACTTTGGTTCTTTTTACGAGTAGCAGGAGTAGCGTATGAACATGAGGACGCATCACCACCCTCACGCTTTACACAATTACTGCACGGGTGACCTCTGTCACATTTCCTACAAATCGGTCAGTTTGCGTTGGTGTGACGGGCCGTGAATCTTTTCTCACAATCTGTGAAGCAAGTTAGCGAGTTGAGTCGATATGGGGCATTTATCTGGCACTCACTTCCTAGTCCGACACGGATAGCAGCTGAGAGGTACCCTATTCCTCTTCCTCACGACTCGAAACTGCTCCTCGGGTGACCGACCTGATCCCGAGGAGGGCGTCGTGGATGGTGGTGTGGGAGTCATGATGGCAATGGAATCCGTGGAACAGGTAGATGCGTCGTAAAAGACCTCTGGCGATGGCTTCCACGGATATGAAAACGTGCTCCGGACTCGATGTCCTATCTAGCACAACACACGCAGGTGTATACTCTTCGCTTCGGAACCAGTGATGGCACTGGCCGACAAAGATCCCTTATACGGCGAGGCAAGAGTAAAGGGCTCGACAAGTTGGCTGTCAGACACTCAGGACGAGTGTACAAATTTAGCCACTGAAACGTTGACAACGGCCAGACCGTCGGCAGCCTAACCCTGGAGGAGCGGTCTCGGCAGGTTGGTGTAGTGGCCGAGTACTTCAGCAAGGCCCGGCCAAGTGTATGAAGCGCAAGTAATGTGACCGTCCGGCCTTCAAAGATGCGCTACTCGAATTTCGTTGGTCACAGTCCGAAGTCTTGGAATAAGACCAATGACCGTGGTTTCGCCTCAAAGGTCAGTGACTGCTTGGGAAGCTCGTTACTTCGCAGAGAGCGAAGGGCGCAAGGCAGCTAGACGTCGAGGCTGCTGACGATGTCGCAGTGTGATAAGGCGCCACAGTAAAAGCGCAATCTTGCCACAGGTTCTGACAGGCAACGGCAATCGTAGGTCGGACCGGTCGACCCGTGTACGGATACAAGGTAAGGAGCAATTGGAGATGGTAGTCGGTGGGAGGTTCCGCAATGCGCAGGGGTCTCAAGATAGGGTCGGTGTCGAGGCACCAAAGTTAGGATGCGGGCGCAATGCAAGGGTAGGCTCGATATGCCGCAGGTGTTTGTGGCAAGTGTCGGAAAGCGGTAGCGCAAGTCAGCGCAACGAAAAGATGGCGAAAGAAAGGCGAGGTGTCGGAAGGTTGCGATCGCGTCTTTGGCGGCGGCGTCAGCTTTTGGTGGTTCGGGTTGGGGCAAGGGAAGGATTCGAGTGGCCCGCGACCACACAACCTGACTGCCCAAGCAAGTCAAGACTCACCACTTTTGGGGGTACTTTTGCCCTGTACTAGACTCTGCGCGAAGGAAGAAAATGGAATAATGACCAAGCCACGAATTGAGAAAAGTCCAAGTCGAGAGATTGTCGTGTAACGTCTGCAGCAGCTGCGCGACTTGCGGGGTGGGTGAGCAAAGGTCAGGCAAGAGAGAGGATGGAGGGGAAGAGTTGAGATTGCTACGGATACTATCGCAGTCGAAAGATTCGACAAACATGAACAGCACCCGCAGGCCGCCATCAGCATGATCAGCGAACGACAGGCAGGGGTGGATAGGTACGTAAGGGGGTGAAGGGGAAGACCTGAGAGAGACCCGCCACCACCTCAATGTTCCTTCGTCTCCCTCCTCTTTCCTTCCACTTCCTACCTGCTCCCCTCCTCTCGTCCCGCAATGTAGCCGCATTGGAGGTTCTGCTGATCAGGACGGCTTACATACGCGTGTATTGATGCCTACTCACAGCTAACCCTGTCTAGATGGCGCTAAGATGCAACGCAGACAAGGGTGGCATAGCACACCTGGCGAGTCCTGAACTCTCGAGTAGTGGTGGGTTGCCGACACTCGCATATCTCATGGTTTATTCGGATACACGCTCACCCCAAAAGATTGGGCGATGGATAATTCGGGTAGCGTTCATACCCCTCCCTGCTGCCCACACGTTCTAGGTCTAAAGACGTTAGGAACATGTCTCTTACATGCTTCTATCCGAGCTGCATTGTATGCCTGCATATGGGTACGATACTCCATAAGCAGATAGGGAACCCGAAGCGCACTTCAGCACCAATGTAAAAGATAAACCCAGTCCCCAAGCTTGGTGTCGGAAGTCTCCAGCAACTTCTTGGCTGGGATGGAACCCTGAATAACTTTGAGTGCTAGCGGCTCAAAACCGCATTCTGGACCTGCGACGGACTTAACGGAATTAAGAGTGGACCGCTGTCAGCGACGACCATCCAGTCCTTGGTCTGGAAACCTTGGTTGACGTTGCCATGTTAGAGATTCAGTATGTACAGCGCAAGAGTCATTCTGCGAAAGCTTATGGGGTATGCGGAATAGTGCAAGGTCATGCACGATGTTTCTAACCGGCTTACCACGGCCCAGTGACCTGGACGTCGGCCGGATCATCATCGGTCTTATCCTTGTTGCGTATAAACGGCTTACACGCAAGAGATATGGGACAAGACATTAGGTACTTACGCAGTACTGACCTTACTGTAGGTAGGTTATCTGCAAAAGGTTCGAGTCATGAAGAGATGGACAGTCACTAAGCAACATCATTGTCTCCATCACCCCGCGCACAAAAGATGAAGCAAGCCTGGGCCAAAATATTGCAATATTGCGCTCAATCAAGAGCTGGAACTGGCGGAGAAAAATACAGGCACGGAAAGGTAAGGTACGGATACATGGCTCACGGTCCGCCAGCTGAGCTGATGACGAAAGCGGGGTGGCTTGGAGGCTTGGAGTCAAAGAAAGAACACCCCACTTGATGAATAGCCCGTATAGCAATGTAACCCTCCAATAGGAATCCTTTCCATTTGACGTCAACCTCAAGTCCCCCCAATTCCCCAGGCTTATCGCTCCGATCCAATATTGGCTGCTGCTCTGGGTGTTCGACCAACACCAATAAACCAGACAACCTCAACTTCATGTCGAATGCTTATGCCCAGCAGCTAGTCTGACCTGCACCAGTTACACAGGCATTCAAGCACATACGAATACACGGTAGCCTAAACATGATAACCAACTCCTCTGCCGATCTTCTCGGGTGCTCCGCTGCCTCCGCAACCGCCAATTCCCCCTCTTCATACGCCGACAAGGGTGCCATTGGTACTCTTGTGCGCCTTTTCTCTCGGTCGCTGGCCGTGTGACTCATCTAGTCGACGAAACGGCACATGTGCCCAACCTATAATCACTCCATGGACCGTTACCATTAGGAGAACCTGAGACTCTATCGCCGAGTACCAGTCGTATTCCGACATCCAATTTACCCTCTCCTCCTCGATTTGTCAGCGACTCATCGCCGAAGAACGCAAAACCATCTGAAGTCGAGTTCCATCGTGACGACGGCCACCCATCAACATCGTCATCCCATCTCCAGGTCGGCAGTTTCCCACAGACTGTTCTGGGATTAACGGCCCATCTATCGGCCAGCCTCGGCAGCCTCCCCGGCCTCCATCGGTGAGGGGTCGCTTCCACTTGGAGCCTTTGCACGGTGGGACGAGCCTTTCCTTTGGGAACCTCACGTTGGACCAAGACTTTGACAATTGGTTGGACGACAAGGCCAGTAATTCGGTTCGACAATCTAACTGAGCACAGAAGTCTATTCAAACTCCCACCGCACCCTACAAGGCTCGAATGGAGAACCAAGAACAAAGTCTAGGCCATTGGATCGAGCCAGTGGGCGGTCCTTGGGGCCCAACTAACCCCTTTACAGCGACCCGGTCGAGTCCCAAATCACCGATTATTCGCCCCTCCCGTCAGCACTAAACTCATACAGTCCTCGGCTCCTGCCGAAGCGCTGAGCCAAGCCCCTGGAAGCTCCTCGCGGGCGATCGCCATGCAGTCGTCGTAAAACGTACGGCGTTGGTAGTCCACTCGACCTTTGCACTGGAGCCTTGAGCCAGGGCTGTCGGCAGTTGTGGATAGAGCGTTCGGGTCCGATGACAATACTCTCCCGTTCCGTAGTGCTCGACCGTTCGGCATACTTCCGCTGTTGTTTCTTCTTTTGTGCGCCCGTTGAGCTGCATCACAAAAGTCCCACTAAGTTCTTGACTAGTTTCAGCAACCCAGCTGTCGCCCATGTTCTTGAGGGAGCTGTACTGATCTAGAGGTAGGTTGGTTTCTACGTGAATGCTGTGGCTACTCGACGGTGACTTTGGCCAGTCTCCAATACAGAATAGTCCACTGACTGTTGGACCAATCATTACAAGCAAAGTACTCTCTGGTAACTCGGCGAAACTTGAATGCTGCCGTCTAATTCATTGGCTTCATTCGGCCGTATCTCATATGCATCGCTAAAAGCCCGTGTCCCAAGACTTCATTACAAGTCATATCCCGTCAAGAAATGCAGCATAGCGCATACCAACGCCTCTAATGACCTGCCCAAAAACAAAATTGAAAGAAAGCACAAATAACTTGCGCCAGCCAGAGCCCCCCTTTCACGCTAGGTTGCTCTTAATGTTGGCATACTGACTGTTGGGGTAGCTCAACAAGTTCTGGTTCGAATCAAGCTTGCCCATCTTGCTCGCCAACACACCCACCAGGCTGCCCTCGCCCTTGCGGTCACCAGCGGCTTCCCAGAAGACGGCGCCGCCGAGCTTATTGTCGAGTAGATACTGGGCCTTGACGCCCGCGCTCGCCGGGTTGTCGTAGCTGATGAGCTCCTTTGTGGAACTGTCGTAGCTGTACAGTGCACCCGCCGTCGAGTCGTACACCTCGACGGCGCCGGCCTTGGGAAGGACCTTGTAGTGCCACACGCCCGGCTCGATGGAGCCCGTCCCGACGCCCGAGTACGGCAGGCCGACGCCGTTGGCCGTGTTCTCAAAGGAGCGGCCGTACAGCGGCAGACCGAGGACGACCTTGTTGGAGGCGATGCCCTGGGAGAGGTAGTACGCCAGCGCGGTCTGGGTGTCGAACTTTGTCGCCGTCGGGTTGGACGGGTTCTGGTAGAGATTGGCCTGGTGGCCCGTCGTGGTGTCCCAGGAGCCGGCGTAGTCGTAGGCCATGAGGTGCCAGGCGTCGACGTAGGGGTCCATGCCGCGGAGGTTCATCTGCTTGTAGTGCGAGGGACCCGCGGGGCAGGCAATTGTGAGGGCGAAATGATAGCCCGGTGCGTTGGCCGCGGCGTAGGCGTCGAGCTGAGAGCGTACTTCCTTGAGGAGGGCGACGAAGTTTGTGGCTTCCGTGTCGCTGGCTGGGTATTCCCAGTCAATATCGAGACTGCGAAATGGGGGGTTTTGTTAGCGCAAGGCATGCACAAGTGTATGTGAGTCTCTGCGTGCATGTGGTTCTTCTTACCCGTCGAATCCCCAGTCAATCATGAGCTTGATCGCAGAGGAAGCAAACTGCTTACGAGCCGTGTCCGAGGCGGCCACGGCGGGGAACTTGCTGGACCAGGTCCAGCCGCCGATGGAGAGGACGAGCTTGAGCTGGCGGTTCTGCTTCTTGAGGGCGTAGAGCTGCTTGACGCAGCCGTAGGCGTTGCCTGCTTGGTTGTCGTCGCCAGAGTACTGGCGTTGTGTGTCTGAATAGGGGTCTGACGAGACTCTGAATTTCTTTTCGTCAGCCTTTTCCCTACTTCTTGCAAACTTTCTACCTTGGTATTTTGGGATCGACTTACACCGTGCCGTCTGTTTGGATATCCGCAAAGGAGTAGAGTAAGTGCGTCACCTTGTCTGCTGGAATGTCTGCTGGCTGGTAGTTCGCCCCATAGACGCCCCTGAAGCAGAAGTTAGCACGGAGGACATCTGGGGTCCCGTTGCAGATGTAGGGGTTTTCATTTAACGTACCAATTTGTGAAGTACAAGACATTCCTGTATCCCGATGCCGGGGTTCCTGTGCCGGTGGCAGGCGGAGAGGCGGTGCCCGTGCTGGACACTCGCACAGTTGATAGAGAAGACGGCGCAGCAGAAGCTGAGGAGGCCGCCGCCGACGTTCTCACCGACGACGAGGAGACGCCAGGTACCCCCGCCGAAGTCGACGAGGCGAGACGAGAAGTGACAAAGGAGGAGGAGACGGTGATGGGTGAAGGAAGAGACACCGCGGGCGGACTCGTGGGTGCTGCTGTCGCCGCTTGAGAGGTGGGTATCGTGACTTGGGTGGTGGACACCACCGTGCCCGGCTTTCCGCACGTCGGGCGGACGGAGCGGCGCTCATTTACTGGTACCGCGCCGGCTATGGAGGCCAGGACGGCGAGGAGAGGTAGGAGGAGGGATGATCCGACCATGGTGGGCGAGACTGCTTCAGCTTTCTGTGAATGGAGAAGGCTGGATTTACCTTGCTTGATCGACAGGGGAAAAGGGAGGAGCAAGGTCTAGATGGGTTGGTGCGAAGATGGACGGCTCTTCTTATTGTTTCTGGGTTATGGTCGTGATATCTGAGCCTCCCTTTCCCCTTCTCAAGACTTCCACGTTGACTATCCAGAGAGAGTGGGGGAGTGGTTCCCGACGATGGAGGGGTATTGCGTGGATGCTTCATGACGAGGAATGAGTAGAGTCTGGTGGTGCGAGTTTCACCAACCTCCAAGACCTTT